TCTTTGCTCCAATAGCAACAAGAGAGGCTAAACAGTTTATGGGCCAACCCAAGGTAGAAGCAGCACAGTGGAACATTAAATTCACCTATAGTAGAAAAAAAGGCAGAAATACTTCACAGCAGCTCATTGTACAGTTTATGCTAATATTCAAGAGCTATTGAACTTTTTTTTTTGCATTTTTCCATACTTTTCCCACAAGAGACAGTACTATATTTTCATATATTTCCAGTAGCTTTTCTTTTAAAGTAGAATCACAGCAAAAAAAAGATATTTTAATATCTATAACTCAAGGAAAGAATCTGGGTTCATACTTAGAGGCTCTAAGTGCTTATTTTTATAATAAATCATTGTTGAAGGTCTGCTATCCCAAGATAACATTAAAATATATTCCATATACAAGTCTCCTTTAAGTAAAACCAGGGTGTTAAGGTACTTATCAGTGGTTTTTGTACCTCATTATTGAATAATGTCTACTTCCCAAGCATTCCCACCCCATACATTTGGTCTTTGGTCTTTCAGCAGTTTTTCAGGTGATTGTATCAAGTGTGCAACACTTGCTTACTAAAATAAGAAGAATCATCAGCCTTAATAATTTTACAAATTCTAGGGCTGGCATGTATCTGGTTGTCTACTCTTTACCCTGAAGTAGGTAAGTGTCAAGTTTGTTAGCCTTTGCCAGTAGCACTTAGGTCCTATTCTGTGGTCAAGAAAGGTAGTTGTATTTTCCCAAGTCAAAAGGTCGAAAATCTATCTTATGCTACTTCAAGCAAAAAGTCTTAATAATTTAAAGCTGTGACTAAGCCCAGATTTTCAGGCACACATGGTTAAGATTTGCCAGTTTTTTAAGCAAGTGGCTCTCAACTTTTTTAGACACTTGTTTAGACTTTGCCCTTGTTAGACTCAAGGCACATCTTGGAAAATGCCAACTTTTAGTTTTCATTCATTTTTGGACTATGGAAAAATAAGTGAACAGATCAGCAAACAGAATCAGTTCACTTAGGGAGTTTGCCCAAGGGGGGAGCGAGAGAGCTGGAAACTGTGCATATATGCACATACATATATAGTGTGTCTGTGTGTGTGTGTGCATGTGAGCGTGTACAAGAGCCCTAGTTTGGCTCTCCTAGCTGTGAAGGACAACTTTCTGTTGCAGAAAGTGGAGGATACAATGAGTGTTTCCTCTGTCCTGAATCTTGTCCTGACCAACAGGGAACAATCAGTGGAGCATCTGAATGTTTCATAGTTTCATAGTTTCTAGGGTCGGAAGGGACCTGAGCAGATCATCTAGTCCGACCCCCTGCCATGGCAGGAAAGAGCACTGGGGTCAAACGACCCCAGTAAGGTGGTCATCCAACCTCCTCTTAAAAACCCCCAGGGTGGGAGCCTGCACCACCTCACTTGGAAGCTGGTTCCAGAC